GAAGATTGGATCAGCTGATTTCTGCATCGGGCCGGACAGGGGGTTATCATCTTCGCCCACAACAATGTAACCATTCACCTCTCCCCTCTATTCTTTTGGCTCATCAGTATCTTCGTCCCCACTATTCCAGTCGAAGTCACTTTGGTTAAATCGAAAAGAAAACGTCAGTTTTTCTGAATCCGAATTTATAAAGTACATGAAACACTCGCCATATTCACGGTACAAAGAATAATGATAATGGTAAAGATGAAACATACATATACATACATATCTAAATCGTCTCTGGGTTCCTTATACGCAGTGTATTTCCCCTGGTTTTCATTATCGTCAAACGAAAATGCCAGTCTTATGGCTGGCACCAAGCCGAGCAGAGCTATCAATAGAAGCTTGTTCATTTCGTCGTCTGCTTCAATTCTTAGTTTTAGATCAAAGCGGCGCAATTTATGCGCATTGGACGGGGCGTGGGCAGACCTTTTTCAGTTCAAAAACATCAACACATCCTAAAAACTGTGGTAACAAAATGAATTGAGAGTATGTACAAGTACTTCCTGTGCGTCCACAATCATGACGATCAAAACATGACTGCAATACAGTGCCGGTATTTATAACTGCTGAGAATGTTCAACGAGCAATATTTGTCTCAGTCTTTATTTGCATCTAACTATATGCCTCTATCACCGCCGATTTCTTTTATTTTGTTTTTCGTTTTTTCTTTGCTTGTATGTTTCTTTTGTTCCTTAGTTTACACAGAAAGCCTCACGTCAGATGTTCCTGTGGAAGGTAAAATCCAATCCACTCCAATTTTCGGTATGATATTATAATGAAAGGGTCACGATAGAATATCGATTCAGTTATGTTGGGGAGAAGGCGCACTGAATGAGAACAGTTTAGTGTCAGATGCAAAAGATTGTTTCCCAATGAATGATATGAATATTAGCTTTTTTGTGTTTGGTTTATTATGTCTTTTTTTTATTAATTTTTTAAATTTTTTCATTTTTCAAGTTCCTCTTTTTAACAAAAAATAAATATAAATTTTGGAAATATAAATTTTGGTCGCTTTTCGTGTTTATTTCGGGTGAAAAATTAAATCTTAAATAGAGACCCCCC